CCTGCTGCTGACCTGGTCAGCTGTGGGAGGATGTTACTATGGCAACAGAAACAGGATGAGGAAACTCTGAGTTTACTGAAGGAAACCTGCTGCTGACCTGGTCAGCTGTGGGAGGATGTTACTATGGCAACAGAAACAGGATGAGGAAACTCTGAGTTTACTGAAGGAAACCTGCTGCTCACCAGGTTAGCTGTGGGAGGATGTTACTATGGCAACAGAAACAGAGGATGAGGAAACTGTTAGTGAAACGGAAAAAACGCACTGATTTCAGGTTTAGAAAACTGAGAATTTTCCGAGGAGCTAATTGAGGAATGAACCTGGACTTCAGTGGAGCCGGAAAGTAAAGCTGAACTTTGTTCTTTGTTTCTACAGAACAGAACCTGTTTTCCAAGGGAATGTTTGAACGTTTGGGAACAGATGAAGATGTTGGGGAATCGGGTAAGCTCTTCATCCTTTAGGAAGCTAAAGAAGACTGATGCCATCAAATGATCACTTCTAAACTGACTGGACTGACTTTGGGATAAAAAACCAAAAAATAAAATGTAACCGATTGAAATAAAAAATATAGAAAACACATTAAAAAACTAAATAACAGAATCAATTATAAACAGCTGCTAGAAATAAATGACAAATTCAGTTTATTTCTAGAGCTGGAATTGACATCATCTCAGCTCACTTCATAGATCCAGATCAACCAGATCATCCAGACAGATTAAAGGTTCCCAGTCTCTGTGCATCAAGGTCATCAGATATTTTCAGTAGATGTTTTCTGTCAATCCTGCATCATCCCTCACCACCAGCACCCTGAGAATCAGCTCATAATGTCCATCTTCCAACATTTGGGGAAGCTCCGCTCTTTACACCATGGAGACAAACATCCTCAGACTCTCCTCACTGTGAAGCACGGTGATGGCAGCACCATGCTGTGGGACAGAAGGACTGGGCAGATGTGAAAGGATGATGGATGGAGGCAGCTGTAGATGACCTGAGACTGAGGCGGAGCTTAGATCAGAGATGTTCCCAGATGTTTCCTATCCTGAGCTTCAGCTGGTTCTAAAGGGAAGCTGAAGGAGACGGACGGAGACAAACTTCA